GGCCCCCCTCCAGGCCAGTCGGGACCCCAGGCCCCCGGCTCTTGGGCGTCCCTCGTGGTGGGCCCCTGGCCCTTTTGACCCACTTGGTCCTGGCCCCAGCTTGGGCCAGTCGAGGGTACTCTCTCCTTCGGGCTGGGTCTCTAGCCCATCACTCTCTATCCTCAGGCTCACCGTGCCACTACTCCCTTCTCCCAGGGGCAACCGCAGCACCATGCCCTGTACGCAATCACTCTCTCGGGGTCCGCCCTCTGGGCCCCTCCAAACACAGGGTTACCCACCCGGTGGTGGGAGCTAGGGGTTAAGGCGCCCCGACCCGCCTTTCACCGGGGTGGTAACTGGCCTGGCATTTCCTGGGGGCTTCCACGCCACTGAGAGCCCCACCAGATCACCCACTCCCGGCAGGGTACAGTTGTAGGTCATGCCCAGGACCAGGAGCCTCCTTACCAACCCCTTGCAGCTCCCCCTTACCTCCGGGTTGTTCTCAGCAGCCCTCCGGCCAGGCGATGTTGCTGCCTGGCCTCCTGCAGCCAAACTGTCCTGTTTAAATAGCCGCTGTCTCCAAAATGGCTGCCCTAATCAGGCACCTGGAGGCTGCCAGCTCCAGGCCCTTAAAGTGGCAGACACACCCTGTGCTCTGCCACAATGGGGATCTGCCAATAGCCTTTTGACAAATCAATGGTAAAAATATATTTTGACTGACCTATACACTCTAACAACTCCTCCATGTGGGGCATAGGAAAAGCGTCAAACCTGGCTATGGCATTAACCTGTCTAAAATCCATGCAAATTCTAAGTGACCCATCTGCTTTAGGGACAATAACCATGGGACTGTGCCAGAGACTACGTGATGGTACTATATTTCCCTGTTCCAAAATTTTCCTTAATTCTTCATATACCACCTGCTGTAAGTGGTGCAGCACTGGGTGCCACCGTTTCCACACAATCACCCCTTTTGGTGTTTGAATCTCATGTCTTATGCCTTTAGCCTTCCCAGGTCTCTCATTAAACACATCCTTAAAACTATGAATCACCATCCACAGATCCCTTTGTTGTGTGTGTGTTAATCTCTCTTCCTGCTGGATTAACACATATAACCTTTTCTCCCCACTGTGCTTACAAATTTTGGACCCAAATTCTTCTTTTATATATTTGGGGCTGACCTTCCAGCCCTCAGGGTCCTTCCAGGCTTTTAACAGATTAACATGATAAATTTGTCATTCCCTGGCATATCCAGGGCAGTGTACTTCATAATCTATGGGACCAGCTTTGCGTATGAACTTGAAAGAGCCTTACCACTTCGTAAGCAATTTATTAGCTGAGGTAGGGAGTAGGACTAAAACTTTATCCCCCCACCTGAAGCTCTCTCTCTTTAACCTTTTGATCATAACTTTCCTTCTGTCGCTGTTGTGCTATTTCCATATTCTCCCATGCAACTTGCCTAGCATACTGAGATGATCTATCATCATCTGCCTATGTTGGTGGATACCCACACCTTTGTTCCCTGAGCTCTCCCAGTCCTCCCTCACCATCTGCAGCAAACCCCTGGGCTTATGCCCATATACCAACACAAATGGGGCAAATTGTGTTGATGCTTGAGGGGTATCCCGCAGGGCAAACAATAAAGATGTTAACAGCAAGTCCCATTTCTTTGGATCTTTTTGCGTGCAGCAATGCAACATGCATTTTATGGTACCATTTAAATGTTCTAAGAACCTGTTAGTTTGAGGATGATAAACCAATATTCTGAGCTGTTTTATGCCTAGTACCTGGAATGTAGCCTTCATCATTCCAAACATAAAATTTGTACCTAGTCAGAATTTCCCTTGGGACCCCTACCCTTGAAATCCACTTGAGGAGCTCTTCAGCCATATGTGTCGCCATCACCACCCTCAGCAAAATGGCCTATGGATACCGAGTAGCATAGTGAATCATAACTAAAATGAATTGATGTCCCGCATTACTTTTTGGAAGAGGGCCCACAATATCAAGAGCCACTCAGTCAAATGGGATGCCTATAACAGGCATCATTTGGAGTTGAGCATGAGAGGAGCATCTTTCCGTGATTCTTTGGCATTTCCT